GGAGCCGCGGTCGCCCGGGCCGAGATTGGGGGGGCAAGGCGGGCGACAGAAGGCCGATGCCTCCGTCGCCCTGCCCTCTACAGAATCCACCCCCCAAACCTCCAGGTATTTCCCTCCTTAGAGCTGGCAACCCTACTTTCCCCTCAGTGCCTGTTGGTAGGCAACTAAGCTTGGTCCTGTCACCTACTTTGGCCTTTGGGAGAAAACACATTGGGGCCAGTCCTGATAGGGTTGCCAACTCCAGATGGGAAATTCCTGGAGATTTGAGGGATGGAGCCTGAAGAGGGTGAGGTTTGAGGAGGGGTGGGACCTCAGACAGGTACAATGCCATAGACTCCACCCACCAAACCAATCAGTCCCACATAGGGAACCATTGTTGCCAATCTCCAGGTGAGGGCTGGAGAGCACTCAGAATTACAACTGCTCTGCAGAAGGGAGGGCAGAAGTCAGCTGAAGTCAAAGGGGCAGATAATCCAGGCTTCCCCACCAACCCACTGTCGGCTTCCCCCCAACCCACTCCAGCCTTCCCCCCCAACCCACTCCAGCCTTTCCCCGCCCCCCAATCCACTTCAGGCGGCGATCGGAGGTGGGAGGTGTCTGCATGAGCCGATTTAATGTTTAAAAATTTTATTGGAGTCATGAAACTTATGACAAACAAGAAAACTATGACATCTAACTCCTCCAGAGAAAACAGTGGACTATGTCATTATACCCTGCTTAGGTCACCACAGCAAATTGACCCTGTTTGCCCAAAGCCAGAGCATTCCCCCAGAGCCTCTTTCTAGATCCCGTTGTATTGTTTTCACAACGGGCTTTACTGCTAGTCATAGGATAAAGAGGAAGGGACAGGCTAAGAAAAGAACACTGCTAAGCAGTAGCTTTGCTCCCTGCAAGAGGTGTGGGCTCTCTTCTTTTGATATTGATGCTGTGGGTGGTACAGATCACTTAGCTAGAGTGGTGACTTTCATTATTGCAACATGGCTGTAGTTTCAATTACAGTGTGGCATAAGAAGACTGCTTGATGAAAATAGGCAGGGCTGCATTGATTACTTGCCATTGCGTCACTCAAGTTATCTTAGGGTTGCCAAGTGGCACTTACCTCCTCCGCGGGGGACTCCTGGGCGGCTCCTGGTGTGTGCATGCACGCAAAGCACGCGCCGCATGCACATCACTAGGAAGTGACGTTATGATGCCGGGCACGCTGGGCGCGGGGCCACGACCATACAAGGGTAAACCATAGAGTTTTCCCTTGTATGGCCGTGGCCCCGCCCCCAGTTTGCCCGGTGTCATAGCATCACTTTCTGGTGACGCGCACGCCGGGGCGGGGTTCCCCCTGGGGCCCGATTCCCCGGCGTCGGGGAACGGGCCTCTGGGGCGGGGGTTTCCCTGTGGCAACTTGGCAGCCCTAAGTTATCTTTAGGTGAAAACACACAAAAACTGTGTACACCATGGCTTCATCACTGAGCCTGCCTAAGCTGTGAACATGTGGAGCATCTATAGTGGCATAATGGCTTGGGATAACCCATGTGCTCTGAGTAGGCACTTGCATTATAAAGCAAATTTGAGTTTCAGGGAAAATCCCGGTTCCTCCTCTTCCCCAGTTTGGTCCACTTCTTCCCAGTGGTGCACATGTGCTCCAAGACCCACTCCTGACTACTTCTCCCCAGATACAGTCCCAGTGTGTGTTTGTATGCATGGTAATACTATAAGGTAATACTATACAGATCTTTAAGTTCCCACCTACCTTTTGGTTGATTATGTGAAATTGAAATAATCCTCCTTTCTTAACAGAGGAGGAGCTCAGGAAGCTGAGAGAAGAAACAAATGCTGAAACATTGAAACAAGAGCTAGAAAAAGAACGTCAGAGAAGGATAGAACTGGAACAAAAAGTCAATGAAATACTCAAAACAAGGTAAGGGAAATCCACTATACAAGCTGCAGCGTGGCCAGTCTGTTCTCCTGATGGCACTGAGTCAGTGACATGATAAAATCTGATATCCTGTTGAGTGAAGTGAGGAATTGGTTGTTACAAACTTAATTTGAAGTAATGAAGTTCCATTTTTAGGAAAATGAGTGAGGGTAAAACCCAGAGAGATCAGAACTCTTGGAAATGTTTGTGTGGCCATGTTCAAACGCTGGGTTACATTATGTGAGTGATGTGTGTCTTGTTTGCTTCTTACCATCCTGCTGTTCTGCATAAATGCTGCCCTTCTCTTTCTTTTAATTAGGTATCACAAAAATACATAACAAGCCAAATTCATCCTCCAAGCAGAGTCCACTGATGGCATTCCAGTAGAGGGTGAATTTGGCTCATTGCTGTTCTAGGAAAAACCATAATATCAAATGAGTGGTCTTATAAGCAGCCTTATAAGACTGGTGGGTCCATATTAAAGCATTGTAGCTTCGAGACGGGTATTTTATACTCATCACCCCAACTTTGCAGGCACAAGAAAATCAGCTTCTCATAACTGCATGGTCACAGTACTTGATCCCTCTGATTGGAGCAGGTGTTTATGTGAAGAGGAGAAAAGATGGCATGGTTTAAAAAAAGCAATTGAAACTGGGAAGTATTCTTCTTTTTATGATTCTTCTATTTGTCTTTCTTGGAATCACATATATAATACTAAAAGCGCTGTGGTGTCAATTCTATAGGGCTTTCTATAAAGGTGGTGTGGGGTTACTTAGCACATAGTATAGCATCTGCTCCAGGAGGTGCTTTGCCAGTGAAACAAATGTCTAAATGATTTGAAAGGATCTGGATGACTATTTGTCTGATATAAATTGCATTCTGTTGCCACTACATTTTACAGTCTGTGAGCTAGTTTTATCATATAACAAAACTATAATTACTGATAGCAATGCCTTATTAGCAAAACGGAAACATGTACCTACATTTTTCTATTTCAGTGGGGCTTCTGTTGTCCTGCACTGATTATTTGATTTGGGTCAACATGGTATCTATAAATCCCTTAGTATTTAATCTCCCCCCCCCCCCCCAAATGTGCCTTAACGACAAGATATGATGAAATTCTTCAAGCTCTCTGTGGGGATACCACACCTCTTCAAATAGGCCCGCCAGATAGCTTCACACTATTTTCAGTGCCAAGCTAGAACTTTTTTTACTTCGCTAAGTTCTCCAGGTTTATTTTGACATTAAGCCTTCTGTCTTGATGGCGTTTTCTGTGAACTGTTTAATACCCAACAGCTATTATAAATTGCCAGTGAATGACTTTGAAGGTGTGTGAAGGTTCTATAATCTTCTGGTTTTAATTATTTTAGATGCCTTGAGGTGAATCATTTTGGAGATGTAGACTTTGAAACATAAATGGATAGATGCTCTTAAAACATTTTCACCACCCTTTCAAACAGGTGGGAAACTGTTTTCTAAACTGGAGTATGACTTTAACAATACTGAAATGCAATGCCAAACACTAGTTAGGAGGAGGCATTCTTTAGTGAGACAACTAATGATTTGATAATTTTTATGACACAACTCTTGAAAATTATTATGTGTGCAACTGCCCCCCATGTAGTGTTTGATTCTCTTGCTGGTTTTACAGTTGGGCCTGCATTTGAATATTGGCCAAATTTTCCTGACCTGGCTATAGGGAATTTCTGAAGAGATACAAAACTTCCTGTGTAACCTCTAGGGTCTTTTGGATAATCCTGAGCTCAGCAACCCAGAGAATTATTTGGGAAACTGCTTTTGATGGATGTTTGGTTGCTTGGTTGCTCCAGATTTACCACTGGCACTGAATCCACCATAAAATACCGAAGATCAATCACTGTAACCACCTGTGGAGTTAAAGAGCTCCAGGACTCTTGCATATTATGTGGAGGAGATCAGTGAAGGTTATTAATATGCCAGCTTTCAAACTGTAACCACTTGCTCCCTCAGTAACTTTGCTAAGAGGACCAAATCATTAGTTTGAGACAAGATAAGATGTGTTTTATTAACCAATATAAAAGAATGTAAGATTGCAGCCACATAAATTAAAAGAACAAAACTGTCCTGGTTTCCTACTTTTGCCTAGTTTGTAATCAGGAAGCCTGTATTTCACATGACTGTGGGCAGTCTGGCAAGTTTTATAAGCATTGATGTTATATGTAGAATAGCTACTATTGAACAGCCACTATTCTGTTCTGGAATACTTACATCTCCTTCGCATACCAATTTACAGGAGTGTGTGAAGCGCTACAGTTGTTTAGTTGAGGAAGACTGGTGAGGGGTGCGTGTGCGTGTTGGTGATTTGCTCACATCTTAAACAAAATTGCCTTCTCCGTCAGGGCTCAGCTATGCTGTGGTCTATGTTAAGGTATATTAAGATTCCATTCCCCCCTCTCCAGGGTGCTGCCGTTGCCCATCTACTGGCAGAGAGACTTGGAGTCTGTGTACCCCTTGCAAGCACCTCTTCGAAGCCCTTTGTCTTTTGGCCTAGTATCTCTCATCCCCCCCCCCCCCCCCAATCCGCCACCTATATAGTTTAGTGATTAGAGTGTCTTTGGGTTCAAATCCTCAATAAGCTGTGCAGTTCTTAGGGTGATATTGGGCCAGTCACTCTCTCAACTGACCCAACCAAGCAAAGTTGTTATAAAATGGAAGACAGGAGATCAGAGATCCTTGGGGGAAGGTCAGGATAAAAATGATAGATAAATTATGAAACATCCTTTTGAAAGTGTAAACAGTTTTTTTAAATGAAGTAATAGATGATAGTTGTTGGGTGTAACTGCCTATTGTTTATAGTCCGCAGCTAAAGCAATTAACTCTAGCAGAAGTCTTGTGTCAGAACAAGTTGTTGCATAAGGTACCTATCCTGGATATTGCTCCTGTTTTGGTCATAACAGTACTTAATTGCTTTGGGTCCTTGTACGTGGCAAGTCCATGTCTTTGGAGAGGGTGAAGTGGGTTTTTCTAACAGATTTAATAACGCAAATTGCAATGGTGTTTCAGCATGCACAGCACCCCAGGAGCCACACTGGAACTCTGGCACACAAGAAGACAGCTTGTGGTCGGGTTTCCTTTTCAGCATGTGCTTCATGGATGCCAGTTGTAAAAATATAAATGCTTGTTAATTCCCTGGCACTGAGCTTGGGTATTTCTGTGGGTTGGAACTGAATGGAAATATGTAAACCTGCACTTTGATGCTGGGTGAAATTATATGTCATTAGCCATTCGTGGTCAGCTTTCAATGACATTTCATGCTACTTTAATTGCCATGTGACTAAACATAAATGAGCCTGAACTGGTGTTACAGCAGAAACGATGCTTTATAAATTAAGAACATTAAGATGTTAAAACAAGTGCAAATTTGAATCTCCTCTTTTAGACAGCTCTAAGTTGTCCTGCAAAGTTTGGCTCAGTTCAGAGCTGCTCTTAAAGTGCATCAGGATCTTTCCCCTCACACCCCATGATATGTCCTGGGTTATTATCATGGACAAATGGTTTGTATGTAGCCTGAAGTGGGATCACTGATTTAAAGACTGTGCTTTGGCTATAGAGGGGCACTAATGGTGCAGTCCTAAGCTGAGTTCTATCCTCCAAATGCCATTCTGAGCTTCCCTCAAGTGTAGGTGGACATTGTGAAGGAAACACGTTGCCTGCGTGCTTGGTGCTTGACTCAACAAGCTCAGTGTTTGCTCTCTTAGGCTCTCTTGCTCCACAGAGCACATCCACACACACAAAAAACACACACACACAAGAATGTATCAGAACAGTGAAGGGTGTAACAAAGAAACAAGATTTGTTCTCCTGCCTTTAGGAAAGACATGGGTTTAACTGTAGGTTTGGAGCACTGGTAATGAGCCAGTAAGCTCATTTCTTTCCTAATACCAGGAGAACAAATCTTGCCAATTGGGAGACAGGTGAAACTCGACTCAACTTTAAAACCACTTGGGCTTGTAGGAACAAGAGTAGGCCACTGAGTTGAAGTGCCTTCTTGTTGCTGAAGCAGAAAGTTTTTCATTTCAGCTGTGCTGTCTACTGCTAGAAATGTCTTCTGGTTTTTAATTTTTTTAAAATTTAGAACAGTTTTTATAGCAAAATGAACAACACAATAGCATATCTAACTAACATAATTACAAACAGTGAGCAAATGTGAGCAACAACAAAAGCCTTATGAAGTTTGCATATACTATGTGAAAAGTAGGTAACAAATTTGAGTTAACAACGTTTTTTCAACAGTTGTATCAACCAAATGATCAGACAAGTTCAATATGATCAAACAAGTTCAATATGATCAAACAAGTTCAGCCTGTTGGGAGGCTGCATTGCATATGATTTGACCAGCTTCTTATTCATGTGTGTGAAAATACAGAGGCTGCTACCAAACCAGAACTGCATTTGGCAAAGAAATGGACTGGCTCTGAATAACAACACACATGGTGTGGAAAACTCATTGTTCAAAAAGATAAACAACGCAATGGGATTTGTTTTCCTTGCCCAGCATCCATTGCAGTGGGTGTGGGGACACACGTATACACAACCTCACTACCAAAAGTGAAATATAAAACTGCTCACTATTTTTAATGCTTCTTTCTGCTTTCTTAATTTTTTCTTCTGCTCCTGTGGTTTGGAATAAGAGCAGGTGCGCTCTCTCTCTGTCTTTCGGCCCAGCTGCTTGTATCCTGAACTGTAATCTCTGCTGATGTCTCTTCTCTTTTCTGGGGCCCCGGTCACACGGGCAGGAAACTGCAGAGAAGAAGCGTGGCTGTTTGCCCTGGGGCAAACTACTGCGCAGTTACGTGATCAGACCTCCTGTGGAGGTACCGTGGAGGTTCCATGGAGGTTCCATGGCAAGGGAGAGGTGCCGATCACAGGACAAGCCGGCGCGCAACGAAGAAGCGCACGCCGCGGCAAACTGTTTTTTATTTTTGTGTACATGACAAATGCGCATGCTCCGTTGGGTGCACATGCACATCCACAGAGGCTTGGACAAAAAAAACACACACCTTATTTGCAAGGGGACATGGGCGGGCGCCGGATGCCACCGGAAACGCGATCAGACGCCCGCCCTTGCCCCGCAGTTTCCGGAAACTAATACCTCCAAGGTACTAGTTTTTTGCCACGCAGTTTCGGCTGGAAGCCCCGGTTGAGCCACGGGAGTGCTACGCTTCCCAGATGTGCTGGTGAGATCGCGCCCAGAAACTCCGGCTGTTTTCCGTCTCACTTGTGTGGCTTCTGTTACGTGTGACCGCAGCCCTAGTAGATTTTTCGTTCTTTGTGGGAGAGTCACAGTGGTTTGTTTTTTTGCACTCTCAGGATAGTCACACATGATCAACTTTGTGTTGAAAAAATAAAATCTCCTAGCTTTGGCTGGGACATAACAAAAAAAAGAAAAAGAAAAAGAAAAAAAACCCTTTGTGTTCCCAGATTGAGAAATTCTTGTCTGCAACAGTTGAATGGGTAAAGCTGTCTCCAGCAGGTCAGCTAGCACTTTGTCACCTGGGCCAAAAATAGACCAGTGGTCTGCTTCTTGTGTGCATATTTGCTACATGGGAAGAGGATAAAGTGACAGACAGGGTTTTAGTGAGCAACATGTTTGCCATAGGTCCTTAGGCATTCACTGAGAAAGTAACTGAAGGATAAGAGGTCTGCTACTAGCCTAGAAGATAGTTACTTGCCAGGGACAACTTGCACGTCTGCAGCATTGAAAATGTTAACAAATATAATTCAATAGCTATAGCAAACTTTTGCTGTCTCCTTTGGACTCAGTTATACCTTCAAAATTATTTAATGATCATGAAGAAGCAAATGTGTTTTTTGGCCCCGGTCACACGGAACGTTTTGGCCCAGGAGAGGGACGGATCAGGGGCGCAGCAAACGGGCGCGATCTCACCGCAACATCTGGGAAGCGGCGCGCACCCGTCCCCGATCCGGTCCTTCAGGCCGAAAACCCGCAGTAAAAAAGAACCACCCCCAGAGGAGGACTTACCGGGAACGCCGCATCAAGCACGGCCGTGGGATCGCCGCTGCACCCGTCGTTTGGAGCAATCCAGGCTCCCGGCCGAACTGCGCATGCGCACACATGCACAGTTCGGCTGCCTCGCTCCCCTTTCAGTGGCTTCCCCCCGGCATCTGATCGTGCCGGGAAGGAAGTGCGCAGCAGCTCAGGGGATCTATGTGATCCCGCCGCCGCATGTCTCTTTGCCGGTGCTTCCCCACCCCCTGTGTGTCAGGGACCTTTGTCTATCGTTCTTGTCTCTAGGGATTGAAAAACTAACAGATAATTTCTTTCTGAGCAAACAAGTTGAAGTATGCCTATGCTTTGTTCAACAGATACAGTTTATTCTAATTTTAACTTTTTTGGTTTTGCTTTAGAACAGAAGAGCCACCTCCTACTCCACTTCCCACAAAAGCACAGACACAAGCCAATGGAACAGGTAGGGAGGCCTGATGAACTCTCAGAATGGTGTCATTCAGGTTTTCTTTTCACTGAAAAAGGAAAATACTTAGCAGCTAGTGAACCAAAGTGCCTTTCAGAAAATGAGCAAATTGCCTCATCGTTCAGATGTGCTATGGGGAAAGTCCTCATATTTTCTAGTAAAATGTTCTCCTCAGACTTGTTTCCATGAATGTTTGGTATCTAGAGTTCCAAAAATATGTTGCAACCAGTAGATTCTGGATTGCCCCCAGGGATGTGGTGGTTGTCTTGGGTGACACTAGTCTCCTTACAATAACTCTTCCTTGTCTTAAAAGGGGGAACAGAGACCACCCTTCTGTTTTCTGCCCATATTTCAATGTTGGGCGATCTTCCCGAAGTTGATAATCTGTCTTTGTAAGGATTTATGAGTCAGTTGGGGGAAACTGCTTATAAGAAACCCATATCTCTCACGTCCTATGTGAGTGAGCCATTTGCATTCCTCTCTTGTGATCATTGTATGAGCTTTTCTCCCTTTTTGTATTTGGGTAATTGTTTTGCTTTTCCTCACGTGAGCCACAGTGCAAAGCGGTTTAAAATCCAGTCTTGTGACTGCCATGGGAACTTCTCCCCCTATTTATATTGCCCCCCTTTTTGTTCTTAAAACTTGCTGTCTAGCAACTACTTTTTTTGTTAAACATAGGATACATAAACATTTAAGAAATCACATGCTCTCACTGCTTCTAGAGCAAAGATGATGTCTCTACTTGCCCTCTGGGCCCAGTAAAATGAAATCTGAAAGTTTACAATAATTGCTATTATTCCACCATGAGTCTGAAACCTTTAGAATGTGATTAGGTGTGATGGGGGTAGAATCTTAGTGTTCATGCTTATCTTTTTAACTATCATTTAGAATCTAGCCTATGGCTTGACTTTTGGAAACAGTCAAACCGTAGTCTGCTTCGGTTATTCTAACACACACCCAGTTATGTTAGCAGAAAACAGTTCTGTGGCCTCTTTGTCCTAATGCTGTGAAGGGAAGTGTGTGTAAAATTCTTATGGTGTCCCTTTTTGCATTTGCTCCTCTACACATCATGGAAAACATTTAGATCACTGATTGGGTTGGAGAGGGTGTTTCCCACTTAACCTGGCCTTGGAAATCTTGAAAGGGCCAAGCATTCATGGCCTGGCAACATGTAAGTACCCAGGCCAAATGGAGCACACTCACCATCATCTTTGGTTGCTGGGTTCTTTTCAGAATACTAACTCACCCTGCTGGTTTCTAATTTAAAAGTTGCTTGTGTGACCTCTTGCTGATGGTCTCCAGGTGAGACTCTGGAATTCACTGATTGGTAGGTTAAACAATTTGCATGTTAGTGCAATTAGGTGTGGGTGTGCTTTCTTATCTTAATAGATCTTGTGACCAGAACCTCCTGTCTCAGGAAATGTTCACTCTCCAAAGTATTGGGCTGGTACTTAAAGCTCAGTCAGTGCTGTGCCGTCTGAGAATCCTGCCTGCACTTTAAAATTGCACACATGTGCTGTTACAGTAAGTTAGGTTTTTTTAATGCATTCAGAACATTTTGTGTTTTGATCATTAGATAAACGTAGCCACATGATGTGTTCAAGAGTTCAGAAGTGGATTTATGACAAGTTTGGGGAATACATCGAAGACTTCAGATTTCAGCCAGAAGAAAACACTGTGGAAACAGAAGAGCCACTTAGTGCTAGAAGGTAAATCCTGATGGAAGATCCATTTTTGTTACCTAAATACTAAAAAAAAGCATTGCTAGTAGCTGTTGTTCATGTTAATAAGGCGGTTCTGAATGGAAAAATTGTGCAGTGTATGAAATAAAATGAAACATGATGCATTTTTATAAGTGTGATAGAAGTACTGGCTGCAAGATGCAAAATAGCCTTTAGATTATGTTCTATACATACTACTCACCATTACTGTTTGTTTAAAATTATTTTTGTTGACATACAACTAATTCCTATGTCTGATTTACTCCTGGTAGCTTGGGTTTTGTTTTGTTTGTTTGTTTTGCAATCAGGCCACAGGACAGTCAAGTCCTGTAGGGTTTTCAAGGCAAGAGAGGTTCAGAGGTGGTTTGCCATTGCCTGCCTCCAGGTCATGACCCTGGTATTCCTTGGTGGCCTCCCATCCAAATACTGGCCAGGGCTGATCCTGCTTAGCTTCTGAGATCTGACAAGATCAGGCTAACCTGGGTTATCCAGGTCAGGGCCCCAGTCACTGTGCATAGGATAATTTCATACTGTTTGTTGCTGGCATATTGCACATGCTGTTTTAGAACTATGTATGTGCCACATATGTCATAGAAATCAGGAATGTGTTTATTCTTCCAAAAAGCAAATTAATATTTCTCACCACTTATTTTACAGACTTACTGAAAATATGAGACGATTAAGTAAGTATCCAACACTGGCACTGTATGTATGTGATGTTAGGGGCATTTTGTGTCAGCTCCTTATTTATATGTAATACAAAAAGAACAGACTAACATTTAAGCCCATCTCATAAACAATACAATCCATACAAATTTGTTATGTTACTGACAAGAGACAGCATGTAGAGTGATGCCAGCATGGGAAGTAAACTGCACCTTAAACATCCAATATTGCAGAGACCTAAAATGGAAGAAGCATAAAATGACAACACTGGGGCATTACTATTCAGTTTTTGCATGAGTAGTATGTTGCAAGTTGTGAGTTTAACCAACTCCAATTAAAAAAAACAAAACACCTTTCCAGTTGTTCCATCTCTTTTCCCTCATGAAAGAACTTTATGTTCTTCAACTAATATTGATATGTTGCACTAAGCAGCAATAGATGCTTAAACATGCGTATTTCAAAAGTTTGCTGTATTCAGAGCTTCCTGGAAGCTGCTGTCAATTCTAGGGACAGAAACTCTGTAGAAGTAATTTAGTTCTAAAGTTGGTTTTGAAGCAAGGAGGGGCTGTAGCTCAGAGTTGGAACATCTGCTTGGTCTACAGAAGATACCAGGTTCAATCCCTGTCATCTCCACTTAGAAGGACCAGACAGTAGGTGATGAGGAAGACATCCGCCTGACACCCCAAAAAGCTGCTGTCAGTCTGAGTAATACTGATCTTGATGGACCAATGGTCTGATTCAGTATAGGGCAGCTTCATGTGTACTAGGAAATCCAACAGTATCTTTTGAACTGCCATTTCATTCCCGCTTGTTTTACATAATCATTCACAGAAACCTGTGCAAACAACATATTCATGCATTGACTCACCATGCAGGTAGGGAGAATGTCTAAACCCCCCCCCCCCCCCATGATTGCTGTGTTGTCTGCACAGTGCAAACACATGGGGGAGGTGCCCAAATGTACACACCTTCCCTTTGATCAGTTGTGGTGTGCACAGATGCTTCCTCTGCATGTTCACATCATGCAAACGACTCGGCAATTGTGGGGAGGGGCCAGCATGTTCATGCCAGCTATCTGTCCCTACATGGCAACTCGGCATGCAGCTGTGTCACCTGCACAGGGCTAGAGCTTGTTCACTCCTTATACTGAAGCTGGGAAATGAGATACTAGCAGTTTCTCTGCTGTATTATGTGAAGAGAGGAACTTGCAGATCTCACAAGTAGCAGAGTTAGTAAGTTTCAGGCTCATACAGATGAAGACCCCCAACTTCACCCTGTGGCCCTGTGCAGTGAAATGGCAGGAAAACTGGAATGTGCCATTCATGCTTCCAGCATTCAAAACTAGGTCAGGGATTAAACTAAAGTATTTGATTTAATCCAAATAACTACGTACTGTTTTCTTGCCCAGCCAAGAAAAAAAGAAGCAGAAAGAGCAATTATGTTGGTTGGAACCACAGTGTAATTGCAGTTTTAAAAGCCAGCAAATATTTAAAAATGCCATAAAAATCACTGCTGTTCTCCTAAACTAAAGGGTGTGTAAAGTAGAAACTAATTAAGAACATATAGAATATGGTGGCAATCAACGGACTGTTCAAAACTGCCCCCCCCCCCATGTTTCTGTTTTGATGTTTTTTCCTGGCCAAATACGATCTTACTCTTGCATACCTTTTCAACATTCTTTTGCACTTAGATGTATTCCAAAATCATTTGTCACAGTTGGAGTTGCTTAATATTAATCTGAAAAGGTGCCAGTTGCTTGACATCTTACGCCACAAGTATACGGCTGTGTCTTTCTTTGTTCTCTCTCTTTGAACGTGAGCACAAGGTGTGTCCCTCACTCCCACCCAGCTCTGGAGTTGTGTTGTCTTCTCACATGCCATAGTCCCATGTCCTGTCTCTTCTTTATAGTAAGTCCACTGTGAGGAATCTCTGACTTCAGATGAGTTCACGATACGAAATGCCACAACAGAAGTTTCATGTCACCTGCAACACAGTGCTTTCTGTGGGGAGTGTTTGGTTATTCAAGAGATGTAGATGTGTTAGTTCTTGTGTCAAACATTATTTAGTTTGGCTCTGAGTTGGATCAGGGAAACCCCAACCTGACTTGCAGTCATATTTGCTCTTGGGAAACTAACATTCCCAAGGGCAGTGGGGCCTGACTTTGCTTGAGAGCATGTTGTGGAGAGCAGGAGGGGGCGTCACACCATTTTGTCATCCCAAAATAGCAAATTGGGTCCAGTTTGCCCCACCCATTTGGGAACATTAGTTCCTCAATGGCATGTATGATTGCAAGTCTGGTTTGGGCTTATGTGAAACATAGGCTGCTGCCACACACGCTAAATAATCCACTTTCAATCCACTTTCAGTGCACTTTCCAACTGGAGTTTTACTGTGTGAACTGGCAAAATCCACTTTGAAAGTGCCCTGAAAGTGGATTGAAAGTGGATTACTTAGCGTGTGTGGCAGCAGCCATATTGTCTCGTTTGGCCCTTAGTCTCCTGAAGTTCTGGAAGTCCATCACAGTGCAGTCCTATGCAGAGTTATATCCTTCTAAGCCCATTAACTTCAGTAAATTTAGAAAGGGCATAATTCTGTTTAGGATTGTACTGTTGGAGTCTGAGTAAAGAATAACAGGAGGCTGTGTTTTGTAGTGCTACACACATGGCTTATATTTGGGAAAATGTCATTCTTTGTAGTTTTAAAAACTTTGATATGTCATGTTATGCCAAAAGGAAGGGGTGGTGAATATGTAGCCATCAAGTTTTGGTCCATCCGTCCCCCCCTTCATGTGTAAAACATGTGGAGATAAGTTCTTTAAAACATTACCAAATAACACGGTTTTATTATTCCTTCTATGTAGAGAGAGGTGCCAAACCTGTTACAAATTTTGTGAAGAATCTTTCTGCCTTATCAGACTGGTATTCTATCTACACTTCTGCTATTGCCTTTATTGTAAGTTGTTCTTTCCTGGCCAGGTGAATTAGTGTGTGCTGTAATTTTTGTTCAAAATAGAAGAAAGCATTATAGAAACTGTCCGCAGTAATACCAATTTGACCTGCTAAACTTGCCATGTAGTTCTGTTGCAGACTTCTAGGCTAAGAAATAATAAACTAAGTATTGAGGAATTCCATGATGATAGTAGATACTCTGGTTTATTGTTCAATTTGTAAAGCAGTGTTAAATGACAACAGACCATCTCAACATTAGGAAAAACAATGTGATAGGATGCACTGGACAGAGAAAGGAGATTGCCATTTCAGATAGACGTTTTAATTAATAACACAGTCCCATGAAATCTCAACAAAGCGGTGTATACAAGCCAAGCTGTATTGCATGGCTCTGAAGAATCTCTAGCCCTATAACTTTAAACAAATTCTTAAACTTGATGATGATTAAAGAATTTCCCTTTTGGAGGGCAGGCAGTGGGAATAACCTATTTATAGAAAGATTCATTTCAAGTTTAAACAAAAAGCCTGTCAGTTACAAAAGTGTTAATCTTTGTGACTTCTGTGAAATTCCTCATGGGACCACACATGCCCAGGACAACGGAGAAGAGAAAATTCTCAAGATTTCTAGCTCTTTCTAATGCTTCGGGAGTGTTCCCCCTCCCCTCTGGTTGTGCGCCGGCATTTCCCCACCCAAACAAGCACTTGTCAGAGGCGGGGAGAGTGCTCCTCCCTCAGTCATCTCTTTGCTGCCATGGAAAAAGGACCATCTCTGCTCTAGCTCATCTTTTTTTCCTCGGGAAGGTCTTGGCTGAGATAACTGTAGTCTCTTCTTTGTCAGAATGGCCTTGTTTAAAAAGTATGGGGAGAATGGGATGAAGATGGCCTAGTCAGTCAACCATGAGCAATGTCTAGTCATTAGAACTAGATGTGGTCTGCTCAGATCCACAACCATTGTATTGGATCCTCACACTTTTGTAGACTACTTTGGGACCTATAGCTTTCCTTATGCTGGAGGAGCTATTGGACATAGCTGAGGGGGTGTTTGATCTAAGCCTGCTTCCATTTCTCTCAGCTAGGAAGTTGGAAAACATTTACAGATTGAGGGAGGAGGGATTCACCTTCTTGTTTTCTCACCCAGTGGCTAATTCTAAGTCACTGGCTAATTCACTAAAGTTATGCATACTAAACAACAGTCTGGGGCACATTCTTCACCCTTTGACAAAGAGGGGTGGAAACTGGATGGTTTGGGGAGAAAGATTTAATGTCATAATGGGCAGGTATCAGATGTTCCTCTGGGAACATATTTCCCAATATATTGATGCTTTGCTGCATGATAGGAAAACCTTGGTGAGGATCATACAGGGTCATACAGGCCAAAGATGTCAAGCTGGGAAAACAGCAAATCAGTCTGGTTCGCCATGTGCTGGATTCAATTAACTAGGTCTGTAGCATTGGCTATTGTGCTGCTTCGCCACTCATGGTTGCACTGCACTGCTCTGCACAACGATATTATTTACCTTTTAAGTCCCTGCCTTCTGATTGTTGTTGTTGTTATTATTATTATTATTATTATTAATAATAATAATAATAATAAATAATGCTTTTGATTTATTGATAAACACACACATTGCAGCTAGCCGGGCTTCATCTGCGGCTGGGTCATTCGTGTTCCTACGGCATCTTGTCGGCTGGCGGATGACGTCTGGCTTCTTGATGTTGTGCAGCCACACACTGCCACCGCCTGGCCATCTCGCTCCACTGCAGGGAAGCCGACACAGATCTTTCGTCTTGGTCGTCACGCCTCAGAAGTTGCCTCGGCAGCTAACACCTTCCTGAAGGGAGGGGTGTGCCAACCCCCTTACGGGTGGTCCCCAATTTATCTACTCGCCGAAGCTTTTGAATCGCTGGGTAGACGATGAGCTAGGACAAGGCTTGGTTGCTCACACCAGCACGGGGCTAGAACTGCCAAAGCATGGCAGTTCAGATGTTATTGTTAAGCAGGGAAAAATCCCCTGCGCTGCCGCTCCCTGTTTGCCCTCACCATGTTCCACTGTTTTACCTCTGACTTTGCCGCTTGAGGTTTTGCACCTCCTGAATAAAGGGGCTATTGAACTTGTGCCTGAGTCAGAGGATTAGTCTGGTTTCTTTCTAGATATTTCTAGTAGCTAAGAAAGATGGTGGTAAAGGCCTATTCTGGACCTCGGAGACCTGAACAAATTCCTCAATGTCCCCAAATTTCATATGACCACACTTCCACAGGTGCTCTCATTGGTGCACTCATTGCTACAATGAGTGTAGCAATGATTTCCTCACAGCCGCACTGCTCCTGGAGTCAACATCGATGGCATAATGCCTCACAAAACATTGGGCAGTGAAAAGTATGTCTGTGGTCCTGTGTCTGCCACAGAACTCAGCATGAGTATGTTGAGCTTGGAAGAAGCAGCACCGTGCCCACTCACCCCCCCCCCCAAAAAAACACCCCTCTGCCTTGGGGAAAATGTACCCCACTTTCTTTTCAAGAGAAGCCATGGCACTTGAAAATTCTCAATGTTACCCCTGTAACTTCTACTCTGATAGGCAGTGGTCATCTAGCCACCTGGGCACAATTTTTATGGAAAGGTAGCATTTAAATGTCCTTAAATAAATAAATTAGAAATCTGTCATTACATTTTATCCCACCCTTGCTCTCAGGATTTTAGTGAGGTGTTTATAGTTCTCTCTGCCTACATTTTGTCCTCTCTACAACCCTGTGAGGTAGATTGGACTGTGAGAGTGAATGGACCAAAGTCACCAAAGCAAACTTCATAGCTGAATGAGGATGTGAATTCTCCCATCCTGGTCTCATTTCAAACAAAATTCTCAATGTACTATCTGTATCCCATTCATTTTGCAGCTTTTACAGATGTATAAATGCTCATTGAATGTTGAAAGACAGAAGCCACCCTTAATACCATCTTTCAGATGTGTTCAGGGTTTCATATGTCCAGATGATTTCCATGTGTGGATGCCAACACAATGGTATGGGTTTATGTCAGGGAAATTGGTGATATATTCTGTGCTGAGGAGAAATAAGGGAGGGGATTACATGTTGCAAAAAACAAGGTCCTGCCTGGCAAAATGGCAGCTCCATGTTGAATGCATTTCCTTCACAGCATCTGGTTCAACTAAATATTGGTCCTGATGTCTTTATGATGAATATTTCTCTATCTCTGCAAGCAGTAACCAGTCATGTGGAAGAAATATCTATCCCAATACTCCCTTTAAGCTGTGAAGTCTTGTGAGCAAAATTCTACTTTGTGAGCTACTGGCATTAAAGTTGTGAGCAAGAGATTTGGCTACTGCATAAATTAGTTTGCTCTGGAGCCATCCTTTGTGAGCTAAGACAAAAATCTGTGAGCTGGAGGCTAAAAAACTGTGAGTTAGCTCACACTAATTCAGCTTAGAGGGAACACTACCTATAACATCAGGGTAGGAGGTGACTGTTTAGAAATTTTTTATCCAACCTTTACACCACTCATAGTTGAACAAGAGGCAACTGAGTGAGGAAATCGACATAGGACTGCCATTTTTAGATAGCTTCATGATCCCTGTAACACACAATTCCATCCATCTGAATACCACAGGAGGATGAATGGCAACCACACGAAATATGACAAGGTTTCTTTTGGTGGTATCCTTTCTCTGTCAGATTTCAGCTGTTGTTACACTGCCAGGATTGCTTTGTCCTTCTGTGTCACAGAGTTCCATGAATACAATATTCTCCTTTCTCGGCAGTATATTTTCATTGATAATTGGTTTATAGAACTGAAGCATAGAATTTGTCAACATTTTCCTGATATTTTACAATATCTTAACAGATTAAAGCTCCCAAGTATTTTGGGTATGTCTGCTCCAGTGTTCCCTCTAAGCTGAGTTAGTGTGAGCTAGCTCACAGGTTTTTAGCCTCCAGCTCACAGATTTTTGTCTTAGCTCAGGAAGGACGGCTCCAGAGCAAACTAATTTATGCAGTAGTCAAATCGTCTGCTCACAACTTTAATGCCAGTACGTCACAAAGTAGCATTTTTGCTCACAAGGCTCTGCAGCTTAGAGGGAACATTGGTCTGCTCATTAGGAATAGTGGCTTCTTGTTAATTGGTGTTTGTGGCCTCAGCATGTGATGGATTTGGTATGGTTATTGCATGAAAACATAATTCTTTCATTTTTTTAATGTTTCTCTTTTTAATCTATAGATCTACATGAATGCTGTATGGCATGGCTGGGCCATTCCTATGTTCTTATTTTTAGCAATTTTGAGGTTATCCCTAAATTACCTCATAGCCAGGTAATCTCTTTGTGTTATATTTTATTGATGCAAGATGTACATAGGAGCACTTGTACACTAAATGTAGATTCCTTGTTCTGCTCTTCCAGCCAAAGGTTAACTTTTGAACTGTAAAAGAAAAGCTCTTTAGAATATTATCTAGAAATTAGGGATGTTTAAAAGGTATTTGGCTCACTATTTTAAGTAGACAGCATAACACCAAGGTTTGGTTTTGGCCCTGGTTGTTACCCAGTATGTCTCATTCTTGTAATCAAATATGTAATCATTGGAGTACGCTCTTCAATTGTCATTGCCTTTAGCATTTTGCAAGCATCCTTACTAATGGAAAAGTCATGTCAATTCTGACTTTTTAGTACGATGAAATCACTACTTTCTTTCCTCATGGAGAATGATAGTCTGAATATTCGTGTCTGAATATTAGTGTATCTTCCAGACATGCTATGTTGATTGCAAAATTCTCTCAACTCTGTTCACTTAATGTGATGTGCCTGTGTACTATACAATTATGCTGACCGTTCCATTATCGTTATTGAAATTTTAGAAATCAAATTTTGTCAACAGCAACTTTGGGAATTGCTGGCTTCCGGCAAGCTTCATTTTCTTACTGCAGGTCCAAAATTTGATCAAGGCAGAGTCATTTTTGTGATAAAAAGCTGTACTGTGATTTAAAAAAGCCCTTGATTATAAAGATCCAGGCAGCAATCTGCACAGAATGAATGCTGTTTGTGTAGAAACACTGTGATGCCATAATTATGGCTTATGGTCAGAAAATTGATTATTGAGCATGGGTTTTCTGAAATGCATTGAATGGTGCTTTTGCACAGTTGATGTAGTGTTTCCTTGGTCAAGAACAAACATACACATTATTTACTTTAAACGTGATTTACTCCAGCCTTTTGAGTATTCAGGACTGTATGGTTCCATAAGACTTTGAAACTGTAGCCGACTTGGGGTGGGGTGGGGAATACAAAAATAGACTGGAAAGATGTTTACTACCCACACAAGTTGCTTTTTAAAAGCATTGCTTATGATCCGTTCTTATGGAGCCATATGGAAAAGATTAAAAGTAGTCTTTTCTTTTAGGGGGTGGAGAATACAGTGGAGTATTGTGCCTGAAGTTTCTGATCCCATTGTAAGTTTAAATATTTTAAGATAACTTGGGGAATGTTTGATAAGAGCTTGAAAATATCAAGTATTAATAGTATGGATTTTCCTCTGTCTAATCAACTTGGCTGCATTCGGCTGCGTTCTGAGAGCAAAAAAAAAATACTTTTGTGCATTTTTTGAAAACCTCAATTTTGCACATAATACCACTTCATAGAGGGCTTAGGTTTATTTATTTACAAAATTTATATCCTGCCTTTCTACCCAATCAGGGCCACCAAGGCAGCTAACAATTAAAAACAAAACATTATAAAAGTATATCCAGTTAAAACCAAAGTTGAAATATATCTATAAAACACCAAGATAGCAATTAAAACATGAGGCAGGAGGGAGGGGTTATTGGTGGAACATCAGACAAACCAAAACAAGTCTTCCCTAGCTAGTGAAAGACAATGATAACAGGTTGCTTCCCCACAGAGGTTTTTGTTTGCAGTTTGGCATCCAAAGTAGAGTGGGTTTGGGGGGGGGGGGTTAGTGTTTGTACAATGTCATCCCCTGATTGTCCACTTTCTGCTTCTTTGCTCCAACATTTCCCAAACCCGGCTCAAAATGAACTTTGTTGAAAGATCACAGTCAAAACACATTGGCATGCCATGTGGATAAGATGGTGTGCATTTTGGAAGTTATGTCCACATCAGCACCATTTTTTCTTGCCCTGACAATCAAAAAAATAATAATATTTAATGTATTCATTCATATGCAGGAAAGTAAGAAAATCTTTCTTTCTTTCTTTCTTTCTTTCTTTCTTTCTTTCTTTCTTTCTTTCTTTCTTTCTTTCTTTCTTTCATACTATCTTTTTATTTGAGATACTGCTGTGTTTAAGGGTGGCTCATTGTAAGAATTAATAGGCATGAGATCTATTTAGGGAGGTTTACGTAGAAGACAACTTGATATTTGTAACTTGCATCTGGTACTCCGGAACTAAGGTTGCATTCACACATTGTCAGATATTGTGCTATTATTTAATTATAGCAGTGATTTGCAACTGGATCAACTTGTCCACACAGGAAAATCCAGTTAGAAATTATACCTGTATTGCAGTAATAGCACCAATATCAATTGATGTGTGGCTGCATCCGAAATTAAGGAACATATTCTGTTCAACCACAGTAATTTACATGGTAGATCCCCCCCCCCCCTTAACTGTTCTCCCTACATGTTCATGTGAGGCTCCTTTGTCACGACAGGGTCTTCTTGGTGGCCGTATATGATGGGTGTTTAAGTTGGCTGCCAACTAATCTTGGATTTTCTCCATGACTGCCCCATCTGTATGGAACAGTATACTAGACTGTGACTGTAATCCTAAAAACACTGAAAAAAATAGGACTTACTTCAGAGTAGACCTGCTTAGAATGCAGCAATTTTAAGCAGGACTAGTCTCAAGTAAGTCCTATTTTTTCAGTGTTCTTCCTGGAATTCTAAGAAGGTCAGAGCTTGGCTGACGTAAGCAGAACCATGTCAGCCAAGCTGTGACCCTCGTAGTATTCCAGGAACTCTGTAAAACTAAACTTTTTGGGCGAACCTTTCATGCTTACCAGATGTTGCAGGCTGTTCTGTCTGAGTTGGCTGTCTTATGGTATCTGTTGTGTTTTGTCTGTTCTATGGTGCTTCTGATACTTTGGTTGTTGTGATCGAGTACCGTGGATTGATATTGATGTATGCATTTTAGCTTTTGTAAGCAGTCTTGAGTTCCCAGTGATAACTGAGGTGGTATGTAAGCTTTTTTAAAAAAAGAAATAAAGTGTGCAGGAAATGTCTAAATCTGAAAAGCTTAATTTCTGGCATTTGATCCTGTGACAGGAACCTCCAAAGGAAGACCTTACAGTGTCAGAAAAGTTCCAGCTTGTTCTGGATGTGGCACAGAAAGCACAGGTACAATATTAGATTGGATGTTTTCCACATGAAGAAATGCTGCATTTAGGCTTTGGGTTTTTTCCCTGCTTAAATCTATAGCCATATAACGAAAATCCCTACGAAATTTTGTTTTCTCAAAGGTTGAGTACAGCCATAACATTCCTGATTTCCTTGCCAAGTTTTAAGAGTTTGGGAGTATGCTGCAGGGTCACATGTTGCATGATTGGAATTAAGGTTCTTTTCTGCTCTGCAATGGTCACGTTAATGACAGAACGGGGGCCATCAACGGTAGATTGTCTTCTTTCTGGTTCCATCCCCGACATCTCCAGGTAAAAGGATCAGGTAGTAAGTCATATAAAAGATTTCTTCTTGAGACCCTGAAGAGCTGCTACGAGTTGGAGTAGACCAGACTGGTTTTGTTTGAACCATGGTCTCATGCAGTATAATTCAACTTCATGTGTGTGAAAATTTCAGTGGTGATTTAAAAAGTAGGAACCCTATTCAGTTTAGATTACATAGAAGCAAAGGTTCTATATTTCAGGTTTATTCTTTCTTGTTTTCAGAACCTGTTTGGCAAGATGTCAGACATACTGGAAAAAATTAAAAAGTAAGTGTACATGTGTATATTCTCTACCCAGCAGAATATCATTTTAGAACACTTGAATTGGCAGAATATTAAGTGCTATAAAATGTTTAACTGTTTCTATGTTTCCTCCCGCAGCTTGTTTATGTGGGTCCAGCCAGAAACAACCCAGAAGCTGTATATTGCCCTGTGGGCAGCTTTTATTGCCTCCTGCTGTATTCCATACAGGATAATTGGGCTTTCAATGGGTAACCCTGTTGTTTTTATGTAACTTGCTATTCATGTTTCAAATGTTAGAATTGCAGATCTTGCTTGACAAAGATTGATGTTTAGTTACAAACAATTTACTTGATAGAACAAATTGTTGCCCAACAATAGCATATTAGCGGGAGAGGGTTATAATGCTCTCTAAGGACTGTGTCTCCACCAGATCTATTCTGTACATTTTTCTGACCCACTGAAGACTCCCTGATTTAGAAGGGAGATGAAGCCTGATGGTAAAGATGTATATATGGTTACTGCAGGCACAAGTTCTCCCCTCCTATCAACTAAGCCGTTTTTTTGTTTTTGTTTTAGAGGTATAAAAGTTTTTTTAATGAAGTGAAAGATGGAAACATGCAGACGTATGAATATCTATTTCAAAGAGGGTGGCAGCAATGTAAGACTACCTACTTCCCCACAAAATAATATGCTGCCATTTAAAAATAATCCCCCTTCCCACTGAATAGTTTCTTCATTCTAGCAAAATGTAGTCCAGTAGCACTTGAAAGGCCAAGAAGATTTCCAGGCTGTGAGCTTTTGAGACTTAAAGTTCTCTTCAATCGCTAAGATGCTACTGGACTCAAACTGCTTCAAACCAGCACAGCTACCCACCTAAAACTGTCTTCATTCTAGTAGTAGAGCAGGCTCCTTTTCATATTTATAACCTCTTTTAAAGAGAAAAATATCCTTCCCTGCTTTACATCAAAACTACCTCTGTGTTGTGTGAGATTTTGAAGGGATTTCTCTTACTTTTTCCCCATATGGTATTGAAGTGTGCATGTGCACAATAAAGTAGGAGAAACATTTCAAAATTAAATCTCTTGTGTACTGGAAATCTTATGCTTTTAGTTTTTTAAACTTTCAACAATCAAAAAACTGTTTTGGATGGTGCTAAAAACCTTGGAGGGCAAGTAAATCTCCATCCAGTGCAAACACCCCACCCCCAAATCTGGTGCTAGGCAGCAATAAACTTGGGTAGATAAACAGCCACAAAGCTCATTAGGGTGATTATTTGGCTTGAAGGCTATTTGGTTGGACTACTAATCATTCATTTGATGGCAGAGCAGGGTCAGGAATCCTGTTGTTGTTGTTAATAATACTGTTTTGATCCGTGGTTGGGACCCAAAGTGGCTATTTAGTCGGTCTTCGTTACTCCACTCTGTCCTCACAACAACTTTGTGAGGTAGGTTAGGCTGAGAGATTGTCATGGGCCCAAGGTCACCTGGGTGTTCTTCAGTGGCAGAGCAGGGATTTGAACCCAGTTGTCCCAGGTCCTACTCCAATACTCTAACTGCTATGTCACACCAGCCTTCAAACAGCGGGTGAAGAAGCGATTTGCAGTGGAGAAATGGTAGGTAGAAGGGGGAGCTTTCACCCTGTAATTGCTACTTCCCCCTGCAACTCGCTCCCCCAGCTGGGATTCTGAGATGTGTTATGCCCTATGCAGAGGGAAAGTAGCTGCAAGGAAGATATTGTGTAGGACGATTATGTGAGCGGGCTTAAACACTACCTCCTTTCCTCCTGTTTTCTTGGCTTGTAAACCACTCCCCTTATCAGCTGCTTTACTGAAGTCTATCAGTTTGGTATTCCAGATCAATGTTTGCTGATGGCTGTGTAACTCCAGCTTTAGTGGGAGGGTAGAATCAAATGGCCCTGACTGAAATAGCTCAGGCTGGCCCGATCTTGTCAGATCTTGGAAGCTGAGTAGGGTTGGCCCTGGCTAGTATTTGGATGGGAGACCAGCAAGGAATACCAGAGCCGTGACATGGAGGCAGGCAATGGCAAACCACCTCTGAATGCCTCTTGCCTTGAAGACCCCACAGGATCACCCTAAGTCAGCTGTGACTTGACAGCCCTGTCCACCACCAAAATCAGATGAGCAACAGTTGCTTCTAAACAGGGATTTTGCTCTGGTCTGGCATCCAATTCAGAAGGAGTTATTTCCCCCCAGTATTTGCATGATGTTTTCCCCAATTGTCTAATGTGATCCCTTGAGAAAGATCCAAGTCAAAGCATGTTTACATTCATTGTGCACAAGGTGTTTACATTCATTGTGCACAAGGTGGTGCATATCCAAGTCAAAGCATGTTTACATTCATTGTGCACAAAGTGGTGCATATATTTGTAGGTCCTGTCCTTATTGGCACCATTTGCCTTGTCTCCACTCCATGTGGTTGCCCTCCTCCTCCACTCATGCTAGCAGAGGACATTTTTTTGGATTATAAAAAAATGGTAATTGCTATAGCATTACTCTATAGTCATACAGAAATTGCCATTTTTTTAAAAAGCCCCCAAGAGCCCTCTATGAGGGCGATGGCAGTTATGGTGGGTAGAGGTAAGGAAAGTGAAGTGAAAGGCACCAAATGGATGCTTTGTTGCCACTATGAACTCCCCTGCATTTGCACCAGCAGTGGGCGCTGCTTGAAGAATCACTGCCATGTGGATGCAAGCCATAATTAGAGACAAGATAGGGTGGTATGTGTAGCAAAATTTTAGTCATATTGGTGTTGGGCTGATAGAAGTTTTGTCTTTCCAATTATATAGGACTTTATGCAGGAATCAAATTTTTTCTTATTGATTTCATCTTCAAGCGATGCCCAAGATTGCGAGCGAAGTATGATACTCCTTATATCATTTGGATGAATTTGCCCACAGATCCTCAGCTCAAAGAGAGGACTAACGCAACAGTTTCAAGAAGGGTAAATAGCATTTCCCTTGTTTTGTGATGAAGTTAATGATCTTCCTTGTTGCTTCAGTGACTAGAGCACATGAAGGGGAGGGATAATTGTTAAAGCTTTGGATTAGGTATGTGCATTCTGGTAGATACTGATGTTTCAGGCCAAGCCATTAATTCACACTTATGGAGCCCACACCTCTCCATGAAATCCAAGCATTTCCTCCGTTTAAATTCCTCCATCCATTTAGTGGTTCAGAGCTGGGAATGTCTGGGGGAAATTGCTGATGACTTGCAACTTTCAGGCCTGTTTTCTGGGGACTCCTTCAGTATTAGCAGGTGAATTTAATGCAAGGATTGGCAGTGACGATTATACTCTCTTCTCCAAACTGTTAGGCCCAGAGAATGATGAATTTCTTAGCCTTCTTTGGCATTATAGAAAATCCAAGGATGTTGTAATAAATCGAGGTGGTTTAGAGTTGGCTAAATTTGTGATTCAGAGAAACTTTATTCCACTGAATGGCTACCCAGAGGGTAATTGAGTTGGTGACTTCACCTATGTGAGTCCCAGAGGAGTCAGTGTAATAGATTAAATCCTGGCCCCACTTGGTTACCTCTCCCATTCTGAGTTCCTAAAAGTTGGTGACTTTATGGGAAGTGACCATCTCTCAGTCTTCTTTTCTATAGATTAATCCTTTGAATACTTTGGTATTCCAGAACAAAGCTTCCCTCTTTCCCAAAATCAAAATAAAGTTTGTCAATTATGCTGGAGTTCTAACTCTAGTGACAAGGCTTGAACCATAATGGGCCCCATCCCCGTAACACCTTAGTCAACAGGGCTTTGCAATCAGATTCAGTGCTTAACTGTTTGCAAAACTTGGATCAGGTATTAGAACTGTTCAGACCCCTTTTTGTGAAAAAGAACCTTGACAGGACACCTTTTGAAGAGGAATAGTTGGTTTAACAGTGATCATAAAAGAATGAAAAGGCATATTCAACAGAAGCCTCATGAGTTTAAAAATAACTGTACAATATCAGTCCTTTGAGAGCATAGGAATTTTTAAAAAATGTACAGAGAACTGATCAAGACGAGGAAACAGATGGCCCTTAGTAAGGAATGGAGACTTCTTATTTCACATATTAATAGCAATGACAATAAGGCCTTTTGGTCTGTTATCAATACTACTGTAAATCCAACCTCTTAATTCCCATGTTGTATAGCCCCTCTGACATGGGAAAGTTATTTTAAGTAGATCTACTCTGATGCAAATGTGCCTACTATATCTCCTGTTATTCCTCTTGATGCAACAACACCCTGATATCAACCAAGGAGGTCACTTGCCTTATCAAAGGATTAAAATTAGGAAAAGCACCGGGCTCTGATCTAATTCCTAACAAGTTTCATAAGGATGATCATCAATGGTGGGTCACAGTCTTGGGTCTAGTTTTTACTTATATTAACATTAGTGAACAAATACCTGTTTATGGAAACAGTCTATTATTGTCCCAATATTTAAAAAGGGTTCTAGATGTGATCCATCCTGTTATTGACCAATCAGCCTTCTTCCTTCTCTAGGAAAGCTATATTCCACTTACCTATTGAAGAAGTTCTTGGATTGGATGGAATCAGAAAACCTTTTGGGGCATGAACAGATGGGTCTTAGGCGAGGTTCTTCAACTTGTGGCTATTTGCTTAGGCCTTTATCACTTGGCTGAGAAGTATTCATCTTTTAAGGGAGGGCGATTATATGTGGCTTTCACTGATCTATAAATTCTATAAATCGTCCCAGATTATGAAACAAGCTTAATCAAACTAATATGGATAAAAGACTTCTAGAACCTATTCAGCAATTATATTCAGGTTTGACTGCTCAAGTATGATATGGGTATGAGCGGAACTTAACAAATCCATTCAATTTGGAAAAAGGAGTTTGCTGGTGCCTTTCTTGTTATACTTAAATGGTGCAGCATCAGTTTTCGATGACTCCTGCAATCCACCAAAATTAGCTGATATTGGTGTACCTATTCTGCTTTATGCAGATTATGCCATGATCCTGCCTCGAACTAGGGTTGGGCTGCAACTGTTGCTCTCAGAAAGTTTTTTTGAAATCTAAAATCATAGTTTTCACCAATTCTAAGAAATGGAACTCATCTCAATAGTCAATCAATGGGTCCAATATTGAGCAAGTTAATTCCCCTCTTTTGGAATTATTATTTTTTTTGGCAGATCTGTCCTGGACTCCCCAGCTCAGAACAGTGCTTAATAAAGAAAAACAATCCGCAAGCACTATAAATAAGTTTTTCCACATTAGGGGAGAGGAATATATTCCTGGAGCGGTGTAAACTTTTAATCTGAAAGTAGCCCCCATTATTCTTTATGTCTCAGCTGTTTGGGTTAAAGCTATCTCTGATAATATCAACTGACCCTTAGCACGATTTCTTTGGAAAATATTGAATATCCCCTGTTGTGTGTCTAATGTTGCGTGGGCAGAATTTGGACAGCTATCCTTGGAAGCAAGAGGGTGGCTATATGCTTTTAAACTGAGATTAAAATTGCTCTATGCCGAAGATGGCTTGTTAGACACTTTAAATCGGGATACCCACAAATCAACTTGGATGAAAGCCTTGGATGAGAAACTGATGATAGTTGGAATGTCGATTGATGATGGGCAAATCCAAAGCATTTTCTATGATTAAAAGCTGTGTCCTAGAAACAGACCATAGCAGCTTGATTCTGAGAGCCCACAGAGTTTGTTCACCCCTATCTTTTGGTCTTTCTTTTCCAAAATCAATACCCCCCTGTCTTACCTTCCCACGATATTGCAGAACTTTCCTGTTTGCAAGACTGAATTCCCTACAATGCTTTTACAGGGTAGGTTTTTGAACAGACTCTATTCCAACTGAATTTGCCCTTGTGACCTTAATAGAATTGATACATCCTTTCATTCCCTGATCAATGTAGGTTTTTTTTAAATATAAGGGATTGTTATATTAAGCTTTTAATTAATCAACCATCCCCTTATACTCCAGAAACCCTGGCTCTTTTGCTTAGCAATAAGGATCCTAAATTTATCTTAGCAATTGCAAAATATGCCTCAATCCTTTTAGCCCTTGCATCAAAAACATAAGGAATAAGTACTTTCTGCTGCTCGAGATTTATGAGTCAATGAGCTTCTAAGAGAATAAAAGGAAAAAGAAACCCAAATGCTCCTGCAAATCTATACCTTGTAGAGTAGGAGGCTGTTAAACAGAACAAGCCCCCCCCCCCGAATCTGTGATTGTGCAATAGATACTTACCCCCATTCTACGACTCCACTGAGCAGCGTTTGTTTATTTATTGAAATATTTATACCCCACCTTTCCTTTCTGCTCAAGTTGGAAGCCTTCCTCCAATCTAAGGAGCTTTCCATTGGAGGAAGAGTCACTTAAGTTGGAGGAAGATTTCTTTAGGCTGGAAGAAGGCTACTTGGTGGATGGCTGGATCAACCCCAGTTTCAGAACCTTTTCAGTATGAGAGGGCTTTTCCTTTCTTTTGAATTGTTCAACGTGCTAAATTTAACAATACCTGTGGCATTTTCTTTCTCTCTTTTTTTTAAAACACACATAAAAATGCATTGTGGATGGGTACAAATGAGTGCTTAGTTACGTTTCTGGGCAGCCAAGCTCCTGCTGTTGCTGCTGTGCTCCTTGCCCTCTCAGTTAATCCAGTCACTATGCCATATTCATTCAGTAGCAACTAAACAGTACAATGACTACACAGTTGATAATTATTGCTCAGTGCCTTGGTAATCTTGACTTTGCCTGCAGATGGATCACATATGAGCTATTCATAGAAAGCACCAACCAACAGACACAACAGCAAGGCTGCCAAATGCTTACTCCACAGCCTCCCTAGCAGGGGTAGCAAGGGGTATAAGATGTGAGTTGTAGGGTAGAAAAAAACCCTGCTTTTTAAGATTGTTTCTACTTTGTTTTTGAAAACTGGTTTTTAATAGTTAGGAGTGCTGAATAAGTGGCTGGAAATTAGGAATTCAGATTAGCCTGAATGGTAAGATTTCTCTTTCTCTGTCCTGTATTCTGTCTTCAACCAAATAACTATTTTACCAATTCCCACATCACTGTTGGGTGCTACGTAAAAGGAAAATGAGTAGCTCAAGTATAGAAACACCATAAAAGGCTTCCAGAAATGCTCAAGCTGTATCTGAGGTGGATTTTTCCAGAGAAGCCTCAGAATGTTCAGGTGTGTAATGCATGTCCTGCCTTAAAGTCACAGTTCTCTTTTTTGATTGATGGGTAGTCTACTTCTCAGTCAGATTGGGAACTGATTTAGACATTCAGGGGGAAAGCCAGAGGTTTAGTGCTGCCAGAATTGCACCATTTCAGAATAGAGGAATCAAGGGGGCGTATCTGAATAAAATTCAAAAAGTGCCCAACCAGCACCCCAGGAAGAGGGCTGTGCTTGACTGTTCCTTGCTGGGCTGCTTTTCATGGTTAAGGAGCTTTCAGTAGGAAAGAGCATCCAGTAGTGCTGTTTCCTACTTTGTGTGTCACAAACGCATGACGGAGTGAGCTCCCGTCTCTAGTTCCAGCTCCTGCCAACCTAGCAGTTCGAAAGCAAGAAATTGCAAGTAGATAAATAGGTACCACTTCAGTGGGAGGGTAACAGCGTTCCGTGCGCCTCGGTGTTTAGTCATGCCGGCCACATGACCACGGAAATGTCCTCGGACAGCACTGGCTCTTCGGCTTTGAAACGGAGATGAGCACCGCAACCCTAGAGTTGGATTCAACTGGCTTTCGAGCAAGGGAACCTTTACCTTTTTATGTCACAACTAATTCCTGTGTTTTGCTTGGCCAGCTTAATATTGGCTGTCTTGCAATAACTAAAGAATCAGGATCCTGTGAAAAACCAGGTCAGATGCCAAAGATGGGAAGCCCAGGAAGCTATGTGTGATTTGAATGGATTGGCAAGGTGTGCTCTAACCATTGACGCGTTACCATTTTTTAAAAAAGATCTCAAACCATTGTGTGTAGTTTCTTGGTATGTGGAGTAAGCTCTTGCAGTTTCACTCAATTCATTCTTTATTCTATATATATGATACAGTAAAATAGAGTTCACTTTTTTCTTTTGTCACTGTCACATTTGTGTTTGTTTGTTTTTTCTTTTCCTGCTAGCTGTCAGGGCATGAAAAGGTACGGATCTTAGCGTGGAACACTTTCTTTCAATTTGAACATTTTGTGCTCATAATGAGCGAGTGCCTTTTTTTCCTCCTTTTTTTGTGTGTGTGTGTCGTGTTAACTGTTAATTTTTTTTGTTTTATATATATTTAAATAACATTGTTTTGAATGTTGTTTCTCTTAGACACTTATTTTTCCTAGTTAGATAGTCACTAGGAGTGGGGGGTTGTGTTTCTGCTGGCAGTTTAATCCTGACTTGTGTTTTGTGAAATTTGAGTATCTAATCAGAGGAATTCCTTGGTGTGCTTGGAGACATTTTGTTTTAAATTTCAGTTCCTTTGCCAAAAATGCTTTCTGCTTAGTAACTGTGTGCAGGTGTGATATAAACCCTTAACTGAAGCCTAATCTTGCAATAGCCTAATACAAAATCTAGCTAGCCTCTCTATAACTGTCAGGGTGTCCTGCTGCACAAGTTTTCCGTTTCATAATCCTCGGTTGCAACTTTTATTGGATTTTTAAAAAAAAACTGTAGAGAGTATATGGTCCATGCAAAACTAATTTCAAATAGCCAGGGCCTATTCTGAAGAATAAAGGCAGATGCATCAGTGTTACTGATGCCATATATTACTTAAATGGGCAAGTACTTAATGGGAAATTTTTATACCTAAAAGGTTGGATCCAGACTAAATTTTCCACTAATGGAAGGCACTTTTGTCAGCAGAACAGAACTTTCTCTCCCCCCCTCCCACTGCAGCCCACTGATCTATTTCAAATGTTGCTTCTGGAGGACTGGGTACCACAGCAGGGGCAAATTGGAGGGCTGCAGCAGGAAGGGGGGAACTGGCAAAAATTTTTTTCCTTACATTAGTCCGAGTTTAGTCTGGATCTTTTTAATGCCAAACATTAAGGAAGACTCGTAAAACACAGTTGCCATTTCTTCCATTTCTTCGAGCTAGGAAAAAGTAATGTACAAGACCACACCAGGTAACAGTCAGAGGGGTGCTGTGTTTGACATTGTTCAAGCTAAGCAGATCACAGCCCTGCTGGTGCCTGGATTGCCCATGAAGTCCATGTAATCTTTTCTGTGCTTCTCAGAAGGACAGGTGGGCATAATAAATACATGAGATTCTGCCTAGCAATGTTCTTGCCAGTCAGCTGTTGCTGGAGTCATGCATGATATCTGTATACTATTAGCCACCCTTGGCCACCACCTGTGGATATCTAAATCCATGGACCAGTGCAACAGGGAGGCTAAAGAGATTTTTCTGCACACTTGGGGCACTCCCTAAGTTCCTCGGCGATCAGCTGAGGGACAGGGGAGCTGTGCTGGGTTTGTTGTTGGCGGCACAGCCCAGATGCTGGCTGCTGCTCCGGGCCTGGCAGCAGCAGAGAACCGTGCCAGCAGCTGATCCAGGACAGCCACGGTGGGCTCAGCAGCAGTGATGAAGGATGATGGCTGCTGCTCTGACCTGGCCACAGAGGATGCCGGCTGTTGCTCTGGGCCCGGCTGCGGAGCATTCTGGCTGCTGTCTGAACCCAGCCACGGTGGTGGAGGATACTGGCTGCTGCCTTGGGCTCGGAACAGCAGCTGACGTCCCCTATGGCCGGGTCAGAGGAGCAGCCGCCATCCTCCACCGCCACTTCTGGGCCCCCTGTGGCCAGGCTGGAGCAGTGGCTGGTGTGCCCCCTGCTGTTGTCAGGCCTGGAGCAGTGGCTGGTGTCCTCTGGAGGGAATCAGTGGCAGTGGGAGGAGGGATCCCCCCCCCTGCTGCAAGTCTTGTGGGTTCACAGTTCTGAATTCTGTTTTCCTGAGCTTGGTGAGAAGAATACTTACCTGTTTCAGGCTTTTCTCATTTCTGAAGGTCGGAAATGTATATTGGGGGTGATTGCAACCCTCCTCTCTGTGGTTTTCCTCCAACTTAGGAGCCACAAGTTGGAGAAACACTCCTTAGACTGGAGGAAGACTTCAAATCTGAGTCAAAAGGAAAGGTGGGATATAATTTAATAAATGAATAAACTTTGATTGGTGAGTGGGATGGTAGGAAGGCAGTAGCCCCTACCCCACGGGATAGGAGTCGCCGTAGGCATGGACACTTCCGACCACATCACGGAGTATGGCTCTGGAGTATTCCTGATGCTTGCAGGAAGAACACCTGAGCAGTGGTCAGAAGGGAGGAGCTATAATATTTCTGTGTGTGATTCTTTGTGTCTCAACCAACATTAACCCATGCACAGAATAGTTAAATGGTAGAGCTCTTTTGAAACCATACTATTTCAGCCTGTGCATAACACACACACACACACACTTTTTAAATCTTGGCTTGTATAATTTGTTTCTATTGATGAAATGACATTTCCCAGTTTGTTCCCAGAAGTCAGTGGCTGGTCAAGTACAGCACAATAGGACAAAGTTGGGATCTATGTTGGGGGAGGAGCAGTTTCTGCTGATTTTGCTCTCCCATTGGAAAACCCCACTTTCCTCCCCCTGTGCAGCTCTTGACTATCTGCTGGCCCTTGGGATCAGTGGGGAGGGTCTCAATGAGCTGCCATGCAAGGTGGAAACAAAAAGTTCCACTCTGTGAGCTCTCTTCTGCTTATGGATTTTGTGGCTAAATGCCTCTGTAGCTGGAAAAACAGCATCTCCGTCTCTTCTGCTGTGTTAGTATTCCAAATGCAAGGCTTTGTGGCCCTTTTTAAAAAATTGTGTGTGGGAACATTTCAACAACCATTTTTCATCAACTGCAGTAAGAAGTGGTATAGTCTGTGCCACGACTTGGTTCATGTAGGTTGACTAATACTTGGCCACGTGTGGAGATACTACTCCCAGACGTGGCAGCATTGTGCGAAGAAACTGAACTGGGCCTTACATTTGCACAACTCAGGGCTCATTCTGAAGAATACAGGCAGGATGTTTTCTCAAGAAGATGCATAAAGTTGCCAATCTCTTTTGTGACTTATGCACTGATGACGATCTGGTTTTATTTCCTTTCAGCTTCAAACAACAGCCTCGAGAAGCTATGTAGGTGCAAGTGCCCCCGCTGGAGTCAACAGAGATGAGGACAGTAGCCGTTTCCATACTACTAAGAGAGGCAACTTCCATGAAGTCTTTAACCTGTCAGAAAATGAGCGTCCTTTGGCAGGTATAGACACAGATGTAAATGCTGGTCTTGGCTGTGAGCAAAAGTGCATTTATGAAGAATGGTTCACAGCACAGCATTATTCTGAGCTGTGCTGTAAAGTTATCTGCTGTCGCTTTATGGGCTGGAGGTCAAATTAATTTTTTATCTGACATCCAGAAGGTTATCTCTGCGAACCTGATGCCTTTAGCATGGCTTGCCTTTTGTCGTAGCATGAATTTGAGAGGGAAGGAAAAGTGCATAATCCAGTCAGAGGAAGTAATTTAATCCAGTACTTGAAACAAATATTTTACTGTTGAGAAAAGCTTTTTTGTACACCCTTTGGTCACTGCTTTTAGAGAAATTAATTGCAGAAGCACATCTTACCCTTCCATTTGTTTTGCATTTTCTGAGAATTGGTCTAATTTCTGGGGCTTTGTCTGCCCACTTGAAGGTCTGCACCTTGATTTTTAACCATGTGTGTGAAGAATAATGTCATTGTATTTCTTTGCAGTATGTGAAAATGGCTGGCGTTGCTGCTTGATTAACAGGGACAGGAAGATGCCCACAGACTACATCAGAAATGGAGTGCTTTATGTCACAGAAAAGTACGTCCTTTGCACAGCTTACACAGGCGGGCTGGGGTCAGGAGGATGAACTAACTGAGAGAACACTGCTGTTTAAGATTGCCCACAACTATAAAATTATTCTGCTGTTGAGTCATATGGTGGGAAGTGGAAGGCACAACTTTTAAAGGTGCTTCCTACACTGAGGGAAATGCCTTCAGAAAAATGAGTCCAAGCTGTGGGTATTTCTTTGCGGGGGGAGTTTTGTAAACACCAAATATTGCTTAGAGAACACAAATTTAAATTTAATACAAGTAAATTAAATATGTCCAAAAGGACCAAGAAAATTGGACTGAATGGCTCCTAAAGAAGATTCCAAAATACAACTGTAGATCAGATGGAGAGTAAGCAAACACAAGGAAAGATGTAGCAGAGAAAGAAAGAATTGGTGGTGTATAGATTTCTTCTGCCTTCAAAGTGGCAAAGTCTGCTTCAGGACTCAGCCTTGTCAAATTCCGCTGTGGCACCTTTAGAATTACTGTCTCTGTACCCTTAATTAGCAGATTTCAGAGCCTGGAGGTTTTACAACTTTGACCACATGTAAATTAAACCATTTAAACAGGACTAAGTCAAATGTTCTCCAGCACTTCATTTTGACATAAAAAGTGGGCTTTCAGGGTATGTGTGTCTCTACAATTTTCCTGAAACTGTAAGCCAAAGGCTTAACTTTTTGACAGACGATTGCAAAATCGCCCTCCTTTTTCCTAATAAAAATGAAGTCACGGTGAAGTTGATCAGATTTGACTATACAAAGAAGGCAAGCAAAACTAATTCACAGTGACAATGGCAACTGTTCACTCTGAATCGCTGCTGTATCAAGGACCACATTACTAGGAAGAATGATGCTTTGTAGTGGGGAAAATAGTACTGAAGCTGCAGCTGATTAGACCTGCAAAGAAACTCACAATGTAGTTGCTGTTTCAATGGTAGCTCCTGAATGCAGTCTGAATGTGCTGGAGTGGACTATATCTCTTCCTAGCAGTAATGGTGGCAACTTGAAAATCACAAAAAGGAGGAACTTGGGTTTTTTTGCAGAAAGGAAGGTTCTGCAGTCCCCTATCCCCACACACCATTTGGGCTAAGACCTAGTTTTTAATGTAACACCAGCAGAATTGCAAGCCATTGTTTTAAATAAACTTTTGTGCCATTTAATAGTGAAGGGACTTTGTTCATGTCTGAGGTTCAAACCATCCTAAATAATTTTCCTGATGAAAAAAGCCATGGGATTCTTTTTGGAGAGGAATTTTAAGATGGCCAACTTCTGTTGTATTTTGTGGTTGTAAGCATGCATACTCTAAACATATGTTAGTTGTAATTTCAGTGTAGCATATAAAAATATTTATGGACTTAAATGTTCAACTTGATGTGAAAAACCTGAGTTTATGATTTAGCTCAGAAGTTTAATTTTTCTGACTTTGTAGAACTGTTTCTAGTACTGAGAAATGAAAATTCAGTTAATGAAGAGGGAGTTAAATAATTTGGGTTTCAGTCACATGACATAAATTCCTTCTTTCCTTATCTTCAGTTACTTATGTTTTGAAAGCTCCAAATCCGGTTCCTCTAAAAGAAATAAAGTTATAAAACTCTCGGATATAACAGATATTCAGAAGGTAGGTCTATGATCTTATGGTTTTGCATGGTTAAGTCTTTCTCTTAAAACATATGTGTTGAGTAATGACAATTTTAAAGTTTTGGTAGCACAAATGGATCTGGCCTTGCCACAACAACCACTTGTAAATCTTATTGATTCATTGGAAAATCTGAGTGCACTCTCTCCTTGTATTCAGTGAAGTCAGAAGTTTTTAACTAAAAAAAAAGAAAAGAAATAAAAGTTCATAACTGGGACTGGAACAAGGGACCTTCTCCCATTATATACCCCAGAGAGCACTTCAGTTGGGGTCTCAAAGTTGATTGACCCTCCCTGGCCCAAAAGAGGCCAGGCTTGTGACTACCAGGGCCAGGGCTTTCTCGGTGGCGGCCTCATCCTGGTGGAACGAGCTCCCGGAGGAGATCAGGGCCCTGCGGGACCTCTTGCAGTTCCACAGGGCCTGCAAGACGAAGCTCTTCCACCAGGCTTCCAGCTAGGGTGCCGCCACCATTACAGAGCCCTGGCTCTTGGTTTTAACATCCAGCCACAGGAAAATCTGGAGCAGAAGGATCTTTAGAGAGTATATTGAAATAAGCCATCTTGAGTAACTATCTTCTGCACTTTATGAGACAGTATTAATAATGGAATTGTTTTATATGGTTTTATGTGGTCTTACCTGTATTTTATGTACTGACTGTGAGCCGCCCTGAGCCTGCATTGCAGGGAGGGCGGGGTATAAGTGCGATTAATAATTAAATAAATAAAAATATTATTATTGAACTCTAAATTACCTTAGGATGTATTTTGGGAACTTAGATGAACAAACTCTAAGTAGTGGTCCTTAGTGGAATATATTATTGTACTTTGGGCAATTCAAATGAAAACTTGGCTGTGGGAAGAATGTCTGCCTATGTCTTGTTTGGTGAAGAGTATGCAGATAAATCCATGGAGTCTTTGGCATTCCACAGCACCTACTATTCTTCATTTTTGAGCAATGGGGGAGAATCTGTATTCCTGAAATTATTTATTTATTTATTTGATTTATATTCCGCCCTCCCTGCTGAAGCAGGCTCAGGGCGGCTTACATACAAATTTTAAACAGATAAAACAGAAGTTAGATAAAATAAATAAATATAAGTATAAAAGAAGAAGAAGAGATTGGATGTATACCCCACCCTTCACTCAGAGTCTCAGAGCGGCTTACAAACTCCTTTCCCTTCCCCTCCCCACAGCAGACACCCTGTGAGGTAGGTGGGGCTGAGAGAGCTCTTTCAAGAACTGCCCTTTCAAGGACAGCTCTTGTCAGAACTATGGCTTGCCCAAGGTCATCCAGAAGCTGCAGGTGAAGGAGTGGGGAATCAAACCCGGTTCTCCCAGATTAGAGTCCGCACACGTAACCACTACACAAAACTGGCTCTAAAACATGACCTAAAGTGCTAGTACATCATATAATGATGGCGAGGCATCAGTAGCATAAAGTATGGTCAGCATATAACTAGTCTGGGTCATGTTGGCATATGTAGGTTATCAGTGGTGGTATTTCTATTATATTAGGGCCAGGGCTACAGATGGTTGGGTGCGGCTCCTTAATCAAAAGCCTGGTGGAAGAGCTCCATCTTGCAGGCCCTGTGGAACTGTAATAGGTCCTGCAGGGCCCTGATGTCTTCCAGGAGCTTGTTCCACCAGTATGGGGCTGCCACTGAGAAAGCCCTGGCCCTCATCGATACCAGCCTGGCTTCTCGGGGCCCCGGAAGGGTCAAACGATTTTGAGACCCTGATCGTAGCGCTCTCTGAGGAACATATGGGGAAAGGCGGTCCCTCAAGTATGTAGGCCCCTGACCATAAAGGGCTTTAAATGTAAGAACCAGCACCTTGAATCGAATTCGGTATGCTATAGGCAGCCAGTGCAGTGCTTTTAGCGCAGGCTGGATGTGCTCCCATAAAGGAAGACCCAACAACAGCCTGGCTGCCACATTCTGCACCTGCTGCAGCTTCCGAATTTGGGACAAGGGTAGCCCCATATGGAGAGCATTGCAGTAATCCAATCTCAAGGCTCAGTATTGATGATCTAAGCCAGTGTCCCCACCAGTCACTCTGTCAAAGCACCTGGGTCTCACCATGATAGAAACAAATGTCCACTTTTTCTGAGAAGGACACATATATGTTTACAGGCATTCTGTTATTACTATACTAGCATGTCAAAAGATCACAGACAGATAATCCGCTGCAGGTAGGGTCAGCAGGAGGTGGAGCACATCACACTTGCAGGTGGACTTGAGGATTGAGGGAGAGCAAAGTGTCAGTCACTGTTATGAAATCTTAGGATTTTATTTCTCTGGCCTTTGTAGATTCTGCCATACCATTTCATCTAACTATCTTGACCACTAAAACGACAATTCCCTGTCAGAGTGATATTTCCCCCCAGCTTTAGCACTGGTCAGACATGAGCTTTTAGGCATCACCTTCACTCATCCAAATGTCTAAGTACATAAATATGTTTCTTCCCCCCCACCTTTGTTTTTAGTACAAAGTCCTTTCGGTTCTCCCAGGATCTGGCATGGGTATTGCAGTCTCAACACCATCTACACAGAAGGTAAGTAAGCAAACAAACAGAAAGGCCTGGTTTGTGTTACTAAACCTCATTGTTTTGACTATGCCTTTCTACTCAGGAAATATTAATGGTGTTTGCTTTACTTTTTGGAGCACTTCAAATATAGCTAGAACGTAATTTTAGAGATTTAATTGTAGTGCCTCCTGGCTAATTGTTCTCATAATGTGTTGCATAGAGGCCTATTATCCCCTCATCTGTGGACAGCACCTCTGAAGTTCTGTAGCTGCTTGACTTGAAGAAAAATTGGCAATATCTTTGCTCTGTAACTTTTCATCATAGATTTTGGCTCTGTAACAAATTACTTGAAACTTGAGTGGGGAGCACTGTCCTATTGAACTGAATGTAGCAGTATGTGCGCAACCCTCTGGCAGTATACTTAATGCAGCCGCTTCTACGGTTATGCAGTGATATGAATAGAATGCTTGAATTCAAATTCCACAGCCGCTCCTGCAGAGTCTGCCACATAGGTAGTTTTAAAGTACATCTTTCAGTTGTAGGAGAATGGCTGTTGTTTACTGCTCACAACTAGAAGCACCCATTTATGAAATGCAAGATCAGAAGAAATGAATGTTAATGTTTTTGTAAAATGAGACCATGGCCTTTTATGTTCCTGATAAAGACATGTAGAAATTCAGATCTCAGGAATAAAGACATTGGTCTTGACATTGTGTGCAATTTCCATCTTCTGGATTGGAGAACAAAGTGAAAAATGGGGAATGACCAGCCTGCCCTATCATAACAATAAAGGCAGCTCTCTGAATTAGCTGCAGGCTCCTTCAAGTACCTCTGAAGCTGCGTGTGACATTTCCTGAAAATATTCATGATTTTTTCTAGCCTTTTTTCCCTGTTGCATTTACATCTGTGTTTATGCGGAAATCTGCCACATCATAAAGGAACTTTTATTGATGGGTTTGAAATAATTGGAGAGTGTGTTTTAATTTTTTCTCTTTTTTTTTGTTTGTGTGTGTGTTTGAGAAACATCAATACTATTCTGATAATATTCTGTGTAGATAGGGAAAGTATGTAAAATAGTTACATAAAATAATGTTCTTGTTTTAATATTTGTATTTAACTATTGGAATTATGGAGCTGTGGCGGCTCAAGTGGTTAAGACACTGAACTGCAGGCTGTAAAAGGTCGGTAGTTCAGCAGTTCGAGACCCGAGTGTGCCGCATGACGGAGTGAGCTCCCATCTCTAGTTCCAGCTCCTGCCAACCTAGCAGTTCGAAAGCAAGAAATTGCAAGTAGATAAATAGGGAAGGTAACAGCGTTCCGTGCGCCTTGGTGTTTAGTCATGCCGGCCACATGACCACGGAAACGTCTTCGGACAGCACTGGCTCTTCGGCTTTGAAACGGAGATGAGCACCACAACCCTAGAGTCGGATTCGACTGGCTTTCGAGCAAGGGAACCTTTACCTTTTATTAGGATTATAAGCTTTAACACAAAATCACAATAGGTCTGTCATCAGTAATTGTCAGAGCGGTGTGGCCACTTGGGGCACAAGTTAGGGGTCTTTTCATATTTAGGAGCATGCTGTATAGATGGCATCCTACTGAAGCTGAAGGAATCTCTATAGTTTGGGGGCTATTAACTTTCCTGTTTTCTGTCTTTCAAAGCCTTTAGTGTTTGGTGCCATGGTACACAGAGACGAAGCTTTCGAGACCATTTTCAGCCAGTATATGAAGATAACTTCTGCAGCAGCATCCAGCGAAAGCTAGTACATCACCACAGCTGGTTCCCCCAAGGGGACTTCCTTTTTTAAAATTCGGTTTACTCTCTTGGTTGTGGGGGAAAAGGTGGAACACCCTTCATCAATTCTGCAATAATTTCCTTCATTGCACATACCTTGCATTACATAAACGTATTTTATATATGCCTTCATGTTTTTGTTTTTTAAAGCTTTTGTAAAAAAAAAACAAAAAAGGAAAAAAAGTGCTATCATCACCTCCGCCTTGCACATTAAGCACTTTTAATGTTTATTTACTGGCATTAAAAAAAAAAAAAACACAGCCTATGGAGATATTTGGCTCAAGTAGCTGGAGAACAGACCAAGGGAGATGCCTTGCTCAGCCCTGGAAACCCAGGATGTGGTAGTACATTCTGTTTCTTCTTCTGCTGTCAGTCCTGCACACAGCTGTATGTGTACAAATCCAGTTCTGGTATTCATGTATGCATAACTGGATAGTAGAGTACAGCCTGACGTAAAACAAGTTAATGTACTTCTGAAGGTCACTCTTTTACTAAATTAATCAATGTATAAATAATATGTGGAAAGTATTAGTATCAGTAGTTACGCTTCAGACGAACTTTCTTACTAACTATTGTACCTTTTCAAAGGGTATCTTTCTGGACAAGGCAAAGCTGTTGTTCTTCCTGCTGGCTGGGTTTCTGGCATGGCAAATTCTGTGGTACTTCTGAGAGGGTAAAGTTTATATTGTTAAATTTGGTCATCTTTGCCCATAGGATATGTCAGGCCAGCAGTATTTCTGGAATATTTAGGAGTGCTTCCTGGTAGGAGGTTTGTGAAAAGGAGTTATTCCTTAGCACAGTGAGAGCAGGGTATGTTCCTTCCCCTCCCCCCATCTTGTGTACCCCACAATAAAGGCACTTTGCTAATGTAACAAATGAGGTTTGAATGGAAAGTATCATTTGGAGCAATTTTCGTTGTGAATCTTTATTTTAAGGGCCTGTTTTGTTAATACAGAACAGTAGGACTACCATGTCTTCACAGGTTTGCGGAAATCATTTTTTCTTCCATTAAATTCAATACTACAAATATTTTAAAGTCATGAAAACTTATATATTTTGTGTACTAAAGGCTTGCTTAGAGAGTCTCAACTGCACAAGATTCTGTGGAATCCATAATCAGACCTTCCCAGTCTTTTAAAAAGACAAACAGCAGATGTTGGGGACCCTGGTTTTGTACTGAGGCTCTGATGTAGGGTGAAGAAGAGGTTTAACTCTTCTCCCACGTGGTTTTATCAATCAAAACACACAAACACCACACAATGTTTTTAGATATATTTTCCTTTCTTTTTAAAACATTTTCCAGAGCTTTTTCCCCTCTCCATCCAGGGCTAAACACAGCCACTCATTGATAGTTTTGATTGGTGAAAACCAAGTGGAAGCTTAACAGTTAAACATCTGTTCTCTTGTGATGTGGCCCTGATCTATATTATTTTCCCTTAAAAAGATGCTTGGAAGATTTGATCATGAAATTCACAGCATCCCAGCTAATTAGACATCTTGAGTTCAGGTTTCTACATCAAACTAGCACTATTAGTATGTCCATGTTTATCTCTCTGTCTACTTTCCTATTCCCATTATGTACCTGATAGACAGACATGCCAGTTCTTTAATTTACTTGTTACTGGAGCTTCATGCCAGCTTTTACTCTTCTTTTTACTGTAACTTTATTTGTGAAATTCATGAATCAAGAAAACACAATCCAGAGCTTTAGTAGCTAACAACATGTTACTCGCCAGTGTGTATAAGCCTCAACAGCCTTCTTAAAAATTGTCAGCTTTGGATGGAAAAGTAGTGGGAGTACATAAATCTTCCCCATTCTGCAATTTTCACATTGTGATTCACCCACTTCCAGTTTAACCCCCCCCCCCTTTCTGGGGAGGAGCTTCTGTTTACTTGCTAAGATAAACATGCTTCTGAAAGTTGCAGGGGAAATAGATGTTAGAAGTGGAATTTAAGAGGAGAACTAACCATTAGGGAAAAGACTGACCACTTTCCCACTCTAAGTGGTTTTATCCCCAAACTGGTACTCTTTTAAAAATATATAATGTCCAGTTAACCATCGATTTAACTTTGTTGGAAGCAGAAGTTGTAGAAAAATTGGTTTCCATGTACTTTTGGTTCCTGTCAGTGCCCCACATTGTTTATGTTCTTGAAGGAATAAATAATAAATACATGGGTAAAATGATCTTGAAAAAACTTCACATGTATATGTTTATGTACTGAGAGAATCCCTTGTCCAAAAGACTTAAACAAGATTGGTAATTTTTGAATTGTTCATCTAAATTTTTAACATTGGTAAAATACTGATTGTATTAATAGGAAAAAGTTCCTAGAGTAGCAGATGTCTAAGTTTCAGTAACCTAGGCAATATAACTCTTTCTTTTAAAAAATAGGGCCTCTGATTTATATACAGTTTCAAATAAATTGGGTGAAGGTATTTGGGACAGTAGTGAATAACCCCGTCCCTGCCTTTAAAAAAAAGTTTGTCAGACATCAACCCAGCAGAGAATCAAGGTAGTAGATTGCGGATAAATAAGCATTAAATTAACTTAACTTTCTGTATAACACGTTAGAATCATTGTACATTGAGGTTTTTGTGTGTGTGTGTGTTTTTATAGGGGAGAAGATCCCTTGGGTGTTCATGAGGTTCTCACTTTTTAAAAACAGATTATATTTTTTACAGAGTGAGCAGTTTTTTCTTATTTTTGTATCATTTTTTCAAATGTAATTTTTACCGTCACTCTGATCATAAGAATACTGGTTCTGGTGTAAATCGGGTAATGGCACATATTACCTCCTCCCTTACCAGTTGACTAAAGTATTGTTTTAGAACATTGTTCCTTGAAATTCTTTCTAGCTCTGACAATGCCACAACACCCAACTGCTTATATTTTCAGAAGGGTAGTACTATCACTAAAGACTCTGGATACATAACTGATATAATCCCCCAGATGTTACTCTAATACAGGTTTGTTTAGAATAATCTACACTCTTAACAATGCAAACATTAAAACAGAATTGTTGACATAGTAAATATGTTACAAACTTTTATGCAGTGGTGGTTTGTTCCAATATCAAGTGAGTGAGCAGGATCTTTAAAGAGCAAGTGACAGGTATGCCTGCACATATTTTTGCAGAATTCAACTTTATGTTGTATGAAGAACTGTTGCAAAAGTAACTGCTGTTGTGTGATATGCCATTAATTCCAGTGCTCCAAAAATAGCTTGAGGACCTCTCTGCTTTTTCTTTCCTATATCCTGAAATGTTTTAACATTTGTCATCCTATCCCGTGTTTATATAACCATTCTCATGTAGAGTCTGAATTTATCTCCTGGCCTGGAATTTGCAGTATGGTGCTACTGCATGTAAGTTCAGTAGTGCTACTTCATTGTGAAGTGTTATTTTTTTCAACATTTTTAAAGGAACACATGATTCTTTCATATATTTGCTGTGTGTATGTGTTATTCTTAGAACACCTAGGGCTTATTGGTGAATTCTTTGTATTTAATTGAATAACTTCTTTACTGGAAGTAGAGTGGTCAAGTTTGAGAACCTTTTTCAGCAATAAAGGAAGATGAAAACTGATCACATGTAATGGTTCCCCCTTTAAATTTCCAGATACAGAAGTTACATTATATGTAAGTACCCTTTTACTTTTGTGAGGGAAGATTTGATTATTGGTGAGTAACGTAGCAACATCACACACACACACACACACACACACACACACACACACACACACACACACACACAGCCAGCAAAGCCAGTTCATGTTTTCTGCAGACCAAAGCTGTGCAGAAGATGGAAATATAACCATTGCAAACTCTTAAACATACCTGTTAGTTTATAACAAAGGATGTACATTTTTGGCAGATGTTTTATTTCTGCTACTAATCACTAAACTAGAATGGATGTGAAATAATTTTTATGTCTGAAGTTTGAGTCTATATTTTGAAGTTGTAAATAGTTCATTAGAAGTGTAACTTTTGTTCATCAAGAGACTTGTACTGTATGAAAAAATTTGCCCTGTACATTTTTTAAGAGAATCTTGTTTGTTTTAAAAATCAGGGGAAAGGGTCTTGGTATAAATTATAACTTTTATTTAAATAAACCCTAAAAATGCTTCATGCTACCTAGTGTGTCCATATTTCATTACTCAATGTGAACAGCTAGTTTTGTCTATGATGCCTTAAGCCTGTGATCAATTTTCTAAAGCAGCCCCCACAAAAAATATATTGCCTTCCCGTGAAGATGTTGGTGTGCCAGGAAATAAAATGGGGAGGTGAGAGTTGTACTTGGCCAGGTATGCTTGGAGCAAGTCAAGCCCCAGAAACTCTCCCAGCATCTCAGGGATTCCCTTTAGACTCAGCTGGTGGCTGTACAGGTGGGAGGCAATGACTGGTATAAGCCATGCCTGTTGCCTTCTTCACTGCTGGCCTCAGCAGTGCTGCCAGTGTCTCTGTTGCTTGGTCACAGATCTAGCCCTGGGTGCTAAGCAGATTGTTTGGTGTACCGCTGTTGGCACATGTGTTCTAGGTTGCCTACTCCTTTTCCAGAAACATCCTTTCTGTTCTGAATTTGGCTTCCTTATAGCCCCCTAATCAAATATCAATACTCTATCATGAGGTTTGCTATTTGTTGCCCATGAAGATCTGTGGGTTGGTTCCAAAGGAACATCTCTTCCCCCTCCTTCCATGAAGTTCCAGGTTTTAAATGCAGTTTGAGTAAAGGTAGCGTACTGTGAGGTTTGAGTAGGGTAGTCTCTACCCCGACCTTCTATTGACAGAATGAACCCAGGTGGCCTTCCAAATGCAGTTATTTCATATGAGAAACGAGATAAAAACTCACAATAACTTTTATTCACTACCAGGGATAGGCAAAATAAGGAGGTTCAAAGAAGACGGGGACGGCAAAGGATGAGCTGGTTAGACAGTGTCATCGATGCAACGAACATGTAATTGAGCCAACTTCAGAGGACGGCGGAAGACAGGAGGGCCTGGCGGGAGCTGGTCTATGGGGTCACGAAGAGTCGGACTCGACTGTGCGACTGAACAACAACATAATGAGACTTAAAAGTGTTTACGGACAACACCTTTTGCTGGGCACAATAAGTCAGAATATTGCAGTTGTTAACTCCTGGGTGCAAAGAATGGCTGAATGTTAGCCTTTCCTCAGTCTTGGGATTCCCACAGTATAAATATGAACTCCTCCCAGAAACCACAAATTGTCAGTCAGTTTCCTTCAGAAACTGGGCTCTAAGATAGCTACAGTCTCTTCTGAAAGCATTCACCATTAGCCTGCTTTCTCACAAAAAGACAGACCCTGAGATGTCTGAAGTCTCCTGAGAAAGGATTTTCAGCTTTAGCCCTCTGTAAGCACAAATCTATCTGATAACATTCAGTATTTTCCCTGCAGTCTTGCTCCCTGAAGGCTTTCTGATTTGAGCTGACAGTTTAACAGCTTTTTTGTTATCACTCCCCCCTGCCATCTGGCTTCTTCAGCCATCCATGACTGTTTGGCTGCTATCTGTTCTACACATACCTAACAGACATTCAGGGAATCGGTAACTGAGGCAAAGGGGCAGGACCTTTGCCCATCCATTACTCCCCACACCAATAAACATTTGGACAGTTATCACTGGGAGAAAAGGGTGGCTCTTCCTGATTTTTGGTTCATTCCAGGTTGGGATGGTATTCACAGACTGAGCAGGTACTTATCTTTACAATTTCAATGTAGAGCAGTCTACCTTCTCAGATTAAGGAGGTGGGGAGGAAGACTTCACCTGGTTCAGAATCCCATATTTCCCTGAAGCTTCATGTGTTCTTCCCACCTCCAGATCAGGTATCCCCTTAGACTGGTCTGCCTAACTGGCCAAGTGCTGTGGTTGGTAGGCGGCTATGGTCAAGAATATTAATACTTTAGATACCTCACTTCAAGTTATTCTTTGTTTTTGATTTTGTTTTTCATTCAGTTACCAATTCATGAGACAGCCTGTACTTCTCTTCCACAACTGCTGTGTATTTCTGGGGCTCAAATGGTGAGGGTTTTTTCTCCACAACTGGGTATAGTTCTATCACTGACCCTAGCATAAGCGGCTTTGAACCATTAGGAGAGGTGGGATACACATTTTAAAAATGGTTAGGTTAGGTTTTATGTATGGTAGTGGTAATGTTCTTTGAGTTGGACTTTGTGATGTTCTTAAATTTAACACTGTTCTGAACCTTCAGGATGCATCTGGGTAAAAATTCGTCCATATTAGCAAACTGGATGTAGGCATTCAGATTATCTTGCACTGCCTTCACATGAGACCTTTGCCAGTGTGTTCAAATAATTCATGTAGACTGAAGATGTATCTGAAGATTCTGAAAATCACTGTGGCTGATTATATAAGCAATGTCATGCAGTGCTACAGAAACATTTGTGTTCTCATTTTGTCCACTGCATAACTGACTGAGCTGTAGTCTTAGACTGAATCCATCCTTGCTTATTCATTTTTAAATCTTTTTTGCATCTCCTAGAACATGGTGATTTGCTTATGCTGAAAGAGAGGGAACACCCCTAGACACCTTAAAGACTAACATGTAGCAATCATAGGCTTTCCTGGGCATAAATCTGGTCTGTCTAATCCATGAAGTGTTACCAGCAATTGGCAGATGTACATAATATCTTACCTCTATTGATTTGTACAGCTATATTTGACAACTGAATCTAATGCTTCATGCATCTGGAAAAACGTACCTAGTAAAGCTTGCACCACCATAAATACGTTGGTCTTTAAGGTGTCACAAGACTTTGTAGTGTTTGCAATTATTTTAACATTACTGTTCTTCTGGAACATGCAAAATGTTTACTGGTCAAAGAACCAAGAAGGTAACGGACCAACTGATACACTTCAAAAGCAAATCTTTTGTGCATAGACTCTGTCTTGGGTTCCAGCTGTGTAGGGAGAAAGGTGGGTTCCCAAATACCTTTAATTAAATAGTAATACATAGTGTGATATAAAATGGCATTCATTTCCATTGGTCACCTGTCTACAAGCTACTTCTGGCTCAGAATTACCTGTCTGGGATATATGTTGCAGTCATTGTGTGTGCTGTGATCAAGGGACTTTTGCTAGAGAGGTCAGTGGGAGTTGAACTGGTAGGTCAGTTGCAGCTTTGGTGTTCTGTGGCCTTATAATCACAGTTACAAATGGCAAATTAAACAGGAACCAGCTAGTTACTTGTTGCAAGAATGATCAGCACAGGACTGCTACTTGTTCTAATGTGCACACATGTATTCTTGCTGCTTATATGATATATATGTAGGCTTGCCAAGTCCCCCCGGGGGGCATGGAAACCCCCGCCCCAGAGGCCTGTTCCCCGCCGGCGGCGGATCGGGCCCCGGGGGGACCCCACCCCCAAAGCATGTGATGTGCACGTCACCCGGAAGTGACGCGAGCACGCCGGGCACGCTGGGGGCGGGGCTACGGTCATCCGAGGGAAAACTCTATGGTTTTCCCTCGGATGGTCGTGGCCCGGCCCCCAGCGTGCCCGGCGTGGTCGTGTCACTTCCGGGTGATGTGGTTGCGGCTCAAAGCGGCGCTGGAGTCCCCTGCTTCAGACTTGGCAACTCTATATATATGTGCAGTCTGTTAAAAGTCCTGAAATCTGCAAATGAAAAGTTTCTAATTCTCAAGGTTACAGTTATATGTAATTTGATCATATAAATCACCAGATATTTCCGGGAAAGGCAGTAATTTCAAGTAAGTCCAAATTCAGTGTTTCTTTAGCATTTGTAATTTTTGATATTAGATTTTTTTTGTCAGAAGCTTTACTTAGATTTTCACATTTTGAAGCAGAATAGAAATTATACCCATTTCAAGCAGATTTCCTGGAGAGGCAACATGTTCTTAATATAATACACATACACCAAATATACTGATATACCAATTCATTTTGAGGTTAGTATTTTCTGTTTAAGAGTGAATTCAACTGATCTGCTCAAATGCAGGCTCTATTGCAAACTATTCATAACGTGAACCAGAAATAAACCATCCTTCTGTTAAGTCGCTCACTTAAAGTAGTCGGAGAGTGATTCAGCAAAAGATCAGCTTTATTCAACAATTGTAACCCAACTCCAACACGGATCAACATCTGATAGCCAGAAAAGCTTTTGCATTGAAGCTGTTCTGCTTTTAAACTCTCCCGGCTAATGTAGCCACGCCTACTGTACAAATACCAACCAATGAGGTTGTCTACATAACGACCAATCACAGACGTTCCCGCTCAGGGAGCTTACTGTTGCTTGATTGGCTGGTTCTTCCTGGGCTACCAATAGCATTGGAGGGATTAGGATCCTAGCCCAGGATTAACCTTGACATGGAACTTCAATTAGGTGTTTCACATACAGCAATGTATTATAATGGCAGCTATTGAATACATCACGCTTCAATATCATTATTATGGTTAATTTGATTCTATAATACAGGAGTGTCAAACATGCAGCCCAAAGGCCGGATCAGGCCCCTGGAGGGCTTCTGTCAGGCCCGCAGTGGAACTGGCTGTCTCCAGCTTCTTCCAGTTCTGCTGCTGCTGCTGCAGCGTAGCTTGCTCTGCCAGACACTCTCAATCAC